TAGGGGCCTGCTGTTCATCCAAGAATCTTTGGAAAATTTGAGCTAATGGCTCAGCTGTTCGTGTACACGTCACCTGCTGTGCTTTCTGCGAACGTTGCTGACACCGAGGGAACTATGGGTGCGCAACGATAGCAGCTTCTTGCACACGGTCGCTGTACTATACGTGACGTGTGTGAATATTGGCATCTGGGAGAATGGGACAGGTCTGTGACACATGCTGGTAGCGCATCGAACTATTGAGGCATATGGTATGCCGTAGGACGTTGGCTGCATCCCCGACAGTTTGAGCACATCCAATTGCTGAAGTAAGTGGGGGAACACCACGCTTCACATTCTGGAGGCTGTTCACATGTTTGTACAGAAGTTTGTTGCTAGTACAAAAACTTTCTGCTAGGCTCTGCTAGTGGGCTAATTTATCCTCACGGACAAGTGTGGCACAGTAATTACGATGCACTACATACTAGCTCCAGTTATCATAGCTAGTGTTCGCCCTGTACACATGCCTCGCTACATCTCTTAACGCCATGCGTTTTCGGGTTCTGCTCCTAATAACTGCTTGTGCACTTGTAGAACGTATTGGCCTGTTTACAGATGCGGATTTAATCAGTTTGCTGAACTTGCCAGCAAACTCCGTCTATGCATTAGCAATGCAGTTGTCCGAAATATCAGCAGATAAGCCGACTCTTGCTAAGCTGTGTGACGGCCGATGCAGCATGTGGTTGAAGTATGAGGAAACAGTCATGTTTTGTACGCCGACTGATATACTGCTATGACACTCAGACCTAGACAAGAGGACAAGTAGGGTCCTCAGCCGAAGCTTATTGCTCAAAACGTTTTTCCGGTTTTGGAGCACCCGCCATGTGCCTTGGATTGCGACTCGCAATCTCAATCGTTGCCTCCGTTGACTTTAAAGTCAGCCTCTATCAATACGGTCACTGGGACCGTCACCGAAGTGAAGGGATTCGGCGTGGATCTATGCCATCCCTGCACTCCACGACTGATGGTTTCGTCTTTGTTTAGACTCATCAGGTAGAGATAGCCGAGCTGGGAGTGGAACTCGGCGCATAGTGCTTGGCTGCTATCGCCATAATCACTAGACCATCGAGCTCCGCGAGCAAGACAGCGGATGTGGCATTAATTTGGTTTTGCGGAAGTGGACACCAACCTGGAGGACCAGGAGACTGTGTTTGTCTTACCTCTAACCATTGATCAGCTTGGTAGGAGTAGCTCTTAAGGGACCCGGTGGCATTACCCGTTAGGGATCTATGAGTCAAAAGTAGGCCTTAAGGTCCAGTCACGTTGCGATGGCGTACGGTCGACATTTTCTAAGGTTGGAAAAATCACTATTGTGTTGTTAAACTGATTGGGAGCTCGGTACCACCTGATAAATGTGTCACTGTCCCATTGAAATGCCTAGGTCTCTAATTCTTGAAATGACCAATGCATAGGTTACTACCCTAGAAGACGCCATAGATGACACGGATCAAATTGTCCGGTTGATCCTCACAAGAATTCCTCTCACATGATTTATCGGCAACCTCGTGACTTCACCAGACCGGATGTAGTACGCATTACACGCTGGACAAAGTAGCCTGACTGCACACACTTGAACAACGTGATCATACACAATCCCAAACGACAGGTCCGATCGACGATTTAGGTGCGCCGTCCGTATCAGTCATGAATTCTTTGGTAGGTTGTTGTTAAATAACCTGGTAAAAATACGCTGGAAAGTGAGGGACAACGAGGTAAGGAGAAGAAGCACACAGGTGTTAGGTATTCAGATTAAGCCCTACTCCCCGGTGCCAGTTTCGGGTAGGGAATGTTGTTCCTGTTCTTCCACTTAAACACTAGGCTCAATATTCTGTCCTGCTAGACCACAGCGCAAGTGGTGGCTTCCTACTTAGGATGTCCGACTTGTAGAGTTTGATCTGGTAACAGCGTTCCCAAATCAGTTGGGATGTGGACATACTTAGGAGTGCTGTAGGACTAGTTAATACTAGTCCGAGACGATGCGCGGAATTAAGCGCGGATATCAGAAGGCAATTGGAGTCGGACACAGCGGACTGTATTCGATGGGCTACAACCAGAAACGGACGGATGAAGCGAGGCAAGAGCGTACACGTGAGCGCGGGGACTTACAAGGCAGTTGTGTGTCGAGCCGGTTGTAAGATTAAAACAAGAAGGATTAATGTACACTCGGTCAACAAGTAAATTGTACACGAAAGATAAGAGTTATCTTTTTGGGCGCTACAGTGCGGCCGTAGAGTTCCGCAACGATCACGAAACCGATAAAGTGCATAATATTACCTGTTTTTGTATTTTGTAAAATTTATTATCGCGTTCTGTTTCGTATGATTTGTTTATTGAGCAAAATGGCTGCTCTATTTCTCATCCTCAGTGAACGTGTGGAATGCATGTGTATGCATATGTCTATGAGAGCTTTTTGTATATAATTGTGCACGTCTGAAAAATTATTGAAAACATATGTTCCCTTGAAAACATTGAGCTTTCATCTATCAATGGGATTTTTTACTACTATGACAATTTACATGCTTGTTGCGGCAATATTTTTTCTGTCTTGCAATCGCATGTGTCGTTTGGAGGTAGTTTCGAACCTTTTGTTTTGTTTTGATCTGTGTTGTATCGGTGAGAAGGGATTGTGCTACCACCTTCAGAAGCAATCCGCGGCGTTTCTACTCTGTACCGGTCAATCTAACCACTATTTGTATTCTTTGTCTTCATGATGAGGTTGACCGGAAAGCGCAGTCGACCTCACCTAATCCTCTGAGGAGCATATTATGGTCTAGTTTGAGTTCTACCTACTGGCTTGTCAGATATGAGCGTTTCAATGTTATTGTGAGCGTACCACTCTATGGCTTATGTAAGCGCACATGCCAACATCCCACTTTCCGTTCCGGTTTAATCCCAGTGGGGCCACTCAAGTACTGAGTACCTGCTCTCTAGACGCAATTGGGCAGCTCACGTGCTAGGAGGTCATAGGTCAACCCAACTTCATTTCTACATTCAGTGCAAAGAATCACAGAGTGCTATAACTTGTCAGATAGCCACATCTTGGAGGCGATGTGTTTGGGCGTCATTCGTTCATGCTACATAGCAGGAACATGAATGACAGTGAAAAATGAACCCAACATGCTCACGACTGCGGATACCAGCAACTACCATTTCAGAAGCGAAAGGTTACTTTTGATGACCAGCAGAATCTGTTATGTTTCCTACATTGCCTGATGACTCACTAAGAAACTAACTAGTCTACCATCGCTCTCCTGATGCTTAGTCGTTCCCTGGTTCGGAGTAACTATCAGATGTTCTAGAGGAAGTGTTTTGTTAGCTGCTAGCTACCAACTAATGAGTGAGCACCCCTCTCTCACATCCGGCTGAGCCAGCCACAGCCGTCAATCCATTCGATACTTGTATCACAAATTGGTGCTTTTCTGTCGACAAACACGCTGAAGTTTTCCGATAGGTCAGCTATCCAGATGTGTTGACTGATCAATATTCAGCAAACGCCAATGGAGTGTATGCGCAATAACATGGTAATGTTCGCTTGTCCCTAGAAAGTGGGTCAGAATCCTGTGACACTAGACGGGATAGTTTAGCGTCTTGGATCAAGAATGTAGTAAGTTCAGTGTTGCTCATTGTTGTTCACTGGATTATTGCGTTTGCAGTCAGAGATTTTAGCAAGTCATATGGAGAAATCTGCAGCATATTCTACCCTTTTACACTACATAATTGGTTAACACAATCACCTGTCATCTGGCTGCACCTGTTGCGTTTCCAAACACCATCCTCTTAGCACTGGTATGGCTGATCGAGTAGCAGTGCTGAGTCACCACTTCTACTGGAGCACCGGGAAAGATCAGTTTGTAGATGTTTCCAGCAGTTATTGAGGGACAAAGCGTTTCACCATCATTAGAGCCCTAGTGAATCGAATGTGGACTAGTGCTCGGCTGTTTAGGATTAGTGGAATATGAATGTGCAGTTGGTGTGTCATAGTTGCTGAAAGTCGGTTGGACAACTAACTGTGCAAATGTACGTTCCTGCACATTTGTGGAGTGTTGCTTGATGTTTGGTACCACGTGCATGGATGTGATGATTGCGTTGCGTGAGTTTAACCGGTAAGACCTACAAACAAACCGTCCGTACTACCTGCGTTTCGTCGCAAATGAGAAACTCCTTCAGCTTCAATGCCCTTCACTTTGTTCTAAGATTGAGTTCTGTTCTGTTGAATAACTGTATTCCGAGCACCGGGATACAGTGGATCCTTTTGCATTTATTGGCACAAATACCATAGCAAGGATCCTAGATTATGAAAATGAAGGATAAGAAGCGAAAGGCCAATAATCCTCAGAATTTTACCGGTTGAGACCAGAGACTGAATACCAAAGCTTCGGTGAGTTTGCAATTGTATCAAGCTCAACTGCATTTCTACCCTCTAGCGTGATCTAACCCCAGGCCCGGTCCATGGAAATCAATTGCGTTAGCTTGGCCATCACCTGACCACCTATAGGCTTCATATAACCTGGCGTTCTCTACGGAAACATATTCTCCACCGCAACTTGTCTTCATTGGCTACATTGCAAACCGAGCCTCGCTACCATAACTTCGAAGACGGTACTCACTTTGGACGTTGGACGTTGCACTCACAGTTTACCAACAACTGTGCTTTCCCATGCATGCGCTATAAACGCAGGCTTACAGTTGCATGAAATTAGCTCAATATCACAGATGAGTACTGTCCTTGCCATGTTGTGCAACAATGTGGTTTAGTAATAATTCTATATGGCTTGCAGCTAAACTTTGTGGTGCACCAACCGTCAAGCGCAGCTGTTCCAACTCCTCCTTGCTTAAGCTTCTCACTCCTATTTAAGAGTGGCAAATGTATAGCTGGTTATATGTATTGTTAATTTCTCATTCGTTTTGTATTCAATGGTCGAACTACTGTGTCACTATAATCCAAGCACCCCATCTTGTTCTAGACGTTGCTCGATTGTGTGCGGCGGTGTGAACACACACTGTCGCAGATTCAACAGTGCCTCGATCCCCGCTCCACCTTTCCAACCAACGTGGATGTTGACCAGCTCACTCTACCACTCGCCCAATTACAGTCCCTTCTTAGAAGCCGAAAGCAACAGACGGAAACACACGTTGAGTCCGTTACCCTATGTGCGCCATCGACTGCATCACTCACGAACTCTCCGAGTTACCCCAGGCGTTCTGTGAGGCCTCCCATCTTGAATTTGATAAATGCCGTCGACCACATGTTGGACTTGACAGAGTTGCGAAACCTATGCAAACATTTGTTCGATCAGTATCGCATAGTCAGCTCTGAGGTGAGCAGTGCCCGTAACCTGGACCTTCATCTTTGAAGTACTTCGAAACATTCCAACTGATGCAGCGCTTTTACTTGGTAGAATAAGTCGTACTTCTGTTTGAAGTTATACACGGGCAACCTATCCGACGTCTATCCCTATATGCATGTACGTAGTCATAAAGACTGGAATGTTGCAGTTACATTGCTACACAACACAGTCTTACTGGAGCGATTAGTCTTTTGTAGTGATATTTGCTTCCATACGTTAGCCGACACCTAATAGTTGCGGAGTTAAATTTTACTGCAACTGTGGCTTTCTCCATCCGGCCGCTCATTCCTCAAATAAACCAAGGCCCTAAGAAAAACTGGACATCCAGACAAAATTGCTTCGAAGCATATGAACAACTACAAATGCAAACCGCGTAAGATCATTGCTCCTAAAAAATTACTGTTCATGCACTTGTCATTTAAGGGCGGTTCTGTTGCTGATACTCCCTCTCAACGCTTGAAAGGTGTGGTTGAGAACATTTCTTTCGCGGCCTCATTGAGGATTGTTCATTACAACAAAACACTGCTTGTAGTGCACTTGTAGGATGGACTGTCCTCGTTGACCCGTTCAATGCTCGTGCTCCTGTGGTATGTGATACGTGGGTCACACTAGGAGGCACCTATCTCAGTGGATTCGCGAGCACCTCTTGGCCTAGTTCTACAACGGCGAGATGAGATCTTCAAACAGCTCTCTTAGGTCACACTTTGAGGTTGACTTCAATATCATATACTCATTAACTGCATGCTTCACACAAGGCTTCCGCAAGTTGCTCCTGTCAATCACCGAGGCCATATACATCCGCCATTTGAAGCCCGAACTATGTGTGCAAAAGCAGTACGTGCGTCCGCTACTACCATCTTGGACAACGGACAATGTCACCTAACAGTTTGGTTTTCATCTGAGCCGATTGCATTGGGATGTCGAACTTTTGTGTGATATTTTTCACTTTTTATTTTGCAAGCTGGTGGCCGAGTAGTCTGCGCGCTCGGTTGCAACCATAAGATCACCGGTTCGCATCAGCGTAGGTGTGGGCGTCCTCGAGGTATACTCAGCCCGCGCGCGACTGGTAATGGTTGCGCGGCAGCGAATCGCCGTTACAGCCTACAGCTGACGATTTATTGTTATTTTATTGTTATTTTGCCTACCATTTACAGCTTAGCCGTGAGCTATCGACCAGACTGCTCAAACTACCCAGTTGTTAATTTCCCAGCCCAATTTGGCACTGAGATCACCTAATCACTGCCATGCAAACGTTTGGGTCCGACGAGTTTATTAGAAAAGGATTCTTAACCCATCACTCCTCTGTTCCTGATTGGCTCACTGGAATGGGATTATTTTTTTTGATGAATAACTGCAATGTCCCATACTCGATTCACGTTCGTCACCTCACTGTAGAACGGAAATTCTCGGTTTAGGGATGTCAGGCAGTTTTCCACCCAAGGCATGGATGCATGGACCAGATATTCACTCTGCGGCAGGTGCTAGAGCAGCACCTTGTATACTGCAGACCGATAATAGCTGTGTTCTTCGAGTCCAAGCGTGCGTTTGATTCAGTAGATCGATGTATTCTGTTCGAAATATATGCGCGTAAATGTGTTCCCCTGGAGTGTGCGAAGATCTTACTTGCTCTATACTCGAACACTGCAGGTCGCGTCAGGGTCTACGATGAGCTGTCGGATGGCTTCCCGACAACAAGCGGCGTTCTTGAGGGTTGTCCGATTTCCCTGTTCTTTTTGCATTTCGACATGGAATATATCATGGAGTGTTCTTTAAGAGAATCTCAAGTTGTAGCGTTGATCTCCTGTCTGGTGAAAGGTTAGTTGATTTTGATTGTGCGGCCGATACCGTCTTGCTTTTTGCGGATGTTGCGGCGGTGCAATCAACCTTATATAGTCTCCCTAGAGTAGACCCTTTATTTGGCATGCGTTTCACAACTTCAAACCGCAACGTGCCAATGCAGTACCACCAGCCACTTGATGACCCTTGATCCTTGTTAACGAGAAACTCGAGATCGTTGATCGATTCCCTTAGCTTGGCAGCTGCATCAGCAACGATGGGCGCATAGAAACTCATGTCAGTTAAAACACTACAAAAGCCAGAATTGCCTTCTTGCAGCTGCGACATCTATGGCGACAGAAGGGAGTCTCCCCCGGGTCTGAAATGTGGTGTGGACAATGCAACAGTGCGGACCGTCCTGCTCTATGATAATGGGACTTGACCCATTCGGTCTGATGATTTCACGTGTCTTCCAATTTTTGGTCATCTTTGCCTGCGAAGCATTGCTTGTGTTGGATGACACCTGTGTGTCGGCAACGATAGTATTCTTAGGTGAATACCAGGCCGTGATAAACAAGGTAGTTCCTTAGAACAACAGGTAGCACTGAATGAATTGCGTTGGCTTGGGCACGCACAATGTATACGTGGTCACCGCTTACCTAGGAGGGCCTTGACCAGTCTGCCAGGTATGGGTTGGCGCAAATCTCGAGATGGACAAAAGTTGACTTGGCAGTGGGAGATGAAGTCACTGACCACAAAACATGGAGCCACAGGTCCGTCTAGCTTTCCAGGACGGAGTCTACGTAAGCCGTCTAGAGCATGGCTCGATACTTTACAGAACATGGTTCACAGCCGATGCCAATGGCGCCTCTGCTGCCGTCTGTTACTCGGATTGCCTGTTTAAAGTGTGTTTGGTGCTGTGTTCTCCTCGGGGTAATGGCTGATTATGACGCGTGGCAGTGAAAGCCGCAAGGAATCTGTCTCACCAATGCCGCCTTACCTTCGCACGAGAGCCAGCTGTTTGTGACAGTATGTTGTCTACACAAGGTGCAGGCGCCTTGACCCTGAATGTTTGCTTAGGGGATTGAGGTTTTCGACTAAGTCCCCTACTCTCCCTCTTATTATTCTCTATTCCATAGGTCATCATGGTTGTATGGCAGCGAAGGATCAGTTCAAGTGACTGATGTACTGCTGTTGTTGGTTGAATATCCGTGATTCTTTGAAGCATTATCAAATAGGTTGTTAACATACCGGTTTCTCCCACAACCTGAATGATCCGATCCTTAGTTAATCACCCGCACTGCTCTGTTATTCAGGTTTGTCTCTCAGTTCTATTCCTTTGGGTCACACAGATTTACGTCCACGGAGTACACTTGTAGATAATTTAGACGGAGCACCGAGTTCCGGTATGCGAGGAGAGGTTTTGTACCTTGCTCTTTCCCTTCGTCAACAGAGGCATTGTCTCAGAATGACCACATGGCAACCAGCTTCATATTAAAAGGCAACGTGCTTGACTGCAGGTCATTTTGGTCCATCTCCGTAGATATAGCTCACGGTCTGGTCTGTGCGCACATTTGCGTGTGTTATTGGTGAGTCTTGTACAAAGAGTACTAGAATATTAGTACTAACAGCTTATCTGGTCCTTCGGTCGGGCAGAACTCCCGGAGTATACTGCCAGACGCATTCGCTTGCATTCCATGACAAGAGTGAAAGCGACACTCCACTTCTACACAGCAGGTACTGATCTCGTCCGGCAATGAAACAGTGGTCTCGCTCGGTGACATTTGGAGGTTGGGATCTCTGCTCGCTCTTTGTAGCTGCTTGACTGCCGGAGAAATATCCCGGTAGGGTAAGATCGCAACGGGAGCCTCCAGTCTATCAACGTGCGGTTCAATTAATGCGCGCACTGATTGCAAAACTTGGTGTTTTCATCGTGCTTCAGGAATGGAGACCGTTTCTGTCTTTGGTAATGCTTGTAAGCTCTTCAACCAACCGTTCTCTTGACGCTTTGAGTCAGTGAGGTCGGTTGCATGGAAGGTGGGTCTCCAATTACTTAGCAACAGAAGCGCTTAAAAACTTGACCGAGCACTTTTGTTCACAGCTCTGCTGACTTCAACCGTCTACCTGTGGGTGCACTGTTTCTAGTTGCTTCCCCTGGTTCCTACCGCTGGATCTATCCAAAATGCATTAGTCTGTCTTGAATTCAACATCTGAAGCGGAGCGATGTATTTTGCTTGGATGGGACCTCTGTGGAGCTTTGGAAATAGACGGCGGGATAATCATCAGCCAGTTGACTTAATCTTACTCTTGTCTGGTCTAAAGACAGAGTGCCTTCCTTATGGGAAAATCGGCCATTGTTTCGATTTTCCAGAAAAATGTTGAAATTGTATAAAACACCGAAGGAGAAGTCTCATTTCGGTTACCTTTAAGCAATTGGCATGCTATCCCTAATTTGTGAATCCTGTTACCGTGAAGAACAAATTATTTTTTGTCCGTGCTGCGGGTGCGTGGACCAAAAATGCACACTCCCCAAACTCCATCTGCTATGGGAACACCGCCGCTACTATTGAAGAGGTGTACACTGCGATCCTACGCGCATAACCTCCTTAACTTTCCAGCACCATGATGGTCTACACGGGCTTTCTTCGTACTTCGCTGTCCATAGTGGTGCGTAACACTGTTACCCCATGTCCGTGTTACTTTTCAAGTTTCTGACTGAAAAATATCCTATCGGGTACTGTTGTATCAAGAACGACTGCCCGTGGTATCAAGAATGCAACAGAAACAACAGGATGTGTATCGGTACTCAATTCAGATTTACAAATAGAGGTAACACGCATTGTCTCGATTTTAACCGTCGCTTTTTACGCAACCAATGAGAAGTGGCTTACTCTGTTTCAGCCACTCAATGGAATATGAGTTAGGAGAGACAGGCGATGTATCGACCATAACAAGTACTCTAAAAGACTTCCACACTTTTGTCTTAGAGCTTCTACTATGCGTGTGAGCGACAGACTTCCATTATGCCGCTGATATTGCCTTAATCGGTGACGACCCTCAGACTTGCTGCTAGCTGGAAAAAACACAAGGTAATGAAGGCTTGGAAACTAATGTCACACCTTTGACGTCACATAGGCACTCGACGACCTACGAAGAGCACAAATATGACAGATGCTTGTAGGTCATTCTTTGAATATGTATACAAGGGGCAACCACAACTAGATAATCGAAATAGTCAGAATACCTTAACATTAAACTGAGTTCTGAGTGCGTCCACGTGCCGTAACCACATAGGACAATGGTGACACTCACTGTCGACGTCCATTACGGAAATCTGTGTCACTTTTTTCCCTGAATGCCCAATCAAGTGGGCACTGGTATGTTCACCTTGAGTTCCCGCTTGAATAGCTTTATGTTACCAAGACATCAACCATGTTAATGCACGATAAGTGTTATTAAACTGGGCAGAGATCTAGTCAGCGAGTTTTGGCACATTTGTGGACCGTTGTCTTTAACTATCGGCGTGTGGGTCCAGATGCATGCGGCATCACTAGTGTCCGGATAGATGAGAACGTGAGCACTACCGGCCTATGTCATTTGGCGTTCGGCTGCAAACCCAATGATCTTACCGTGCGTGCGCGCCGCCGGTGGGGTTCGTCTTCGTCTTCTCTGTCACCATGTTGCAGAATTCAGTCCTTCAGGAACAAGCGTTTGTTCGGCAAAGACAGCTCAGCGAAAATTACAGCAGGTTTAGCAAGCCAAATTCCCAGATATAAATTACAGGTTAAAGTACTTAACTAACGACCTTTTTGAGTCGATGAGGTTTCTCCTTTGCTTCAGTTAAACAAACGGTGTATCACTCACACAAATGTCGGCCAGTCCGAGTCCAGTAATCGAATCCGTAACCCCTGCCTCCCATTGGCCGTCTGGCTCGCTCGGTTGGTCCACCTGCTCACTCTGATCTGATACTACCATTACACCGTGAACTCACGCCACCTTTGTTGACAGATTAGATGTAGCGAATGCATTTCATCTACGTGCTGTTAACCACTTTGTTCGTTAGTACGGTGCACGATGTAATGCAGTCTCAAGGTGGGCATTGGAAAATGAAAGGTCATTAACACATGGATTCAGGGGTGTAGCCTGGCTGAACGCATGCTACCTCACTGATGACCACTCTTCCGGATCGGCCAGCTAATGAGCTATAGAGAGCTTCTCGACCTGATGCATCCACGAAGCCGCTTTCATTACTACCTGCTAGTCCCCTTATTTATCAGTTCTATCTTTTGAATTTTCCCCGTTCCTGTCGACTATTCCTCCCGCGCATCAAGCTAAGTGGACACTGTTGTCCCGATCACATTTAACCAACATTGGCCAGATTCTTCTACTCACCATCTCACTGTTGGCCGCTCATTAGGTCTACCATTGTTAGCTTTGAAATTTGGTTCTGTGATACTTAACTGAAATTTCCCTGCTTCTTTCGGAAATCTGTGGCATTTTTAAAATCTGTACACTGTTTCGCTCACAGCTGGAACTGCAGTTGGATACGAATTGGTGCTTACGACAACGGTTGATTGCCACGAATGCTACGATTGACCAGCTTTCAAAACAACTGAACGAAGAACATCACTCCTTGGCATACCTCGAACAGCGGCTCAATGTGGAGACGGAGAAACACACCGCACTAACAGGTAGGTCGTTTTACATGAGGTCGCGCATTTATTTGGCCTGTGGTGCATGGTTTGGTACAAAGGCATCAACACTACGTCGGGGTGCAGTACGGACGCTTCGCTGCCGCGCAACCACCACTGGTCACAGGTGGGCTGAGGATACTGCGAGGGTCGCCCGGTGCCTACGGCGGCTCGAACCGGCGCCCTCGGATTACTAGGCAGACTTGGTATCCGTACGGCTCCGGGTCAGTGTATAAGGATCTACTGGCCCTGAACAAGAACATGATGTAGCCGTCTACTGGTAATTCAATGTGGCTAATTGTTCCGCATTAGTTAGGCATGTGGTGGTCGAACAGGACCAAGCTAAACTGCATTATACTCTTACGTCATCTTCATCATTGTATACTTCCTTCTGACACTCGCACACTATTTTCAATTTCTAGCTTAATAGCAATGTTTACCATGCTGGTCATCATTATGAGACTCACACAGGGACCGCACAGAAGGAGTCTAGTGGACTGAGGTGCTGACTTAATTGGAACGTCGTAGGGTAGCAACGTCTGCGGTAGCAATGTAAAGCTTCGGTTTCACACGCATCTGATATCACTCTTGATTCCCCCCCTGAAGGCTTGATTACACCTTGATCCTTAGCCTTCTTAGTGTTACTTCCACATTCCCACTTTAGTCTTTTGTATATCCGATCGCTTTGGCAATCTAAACCTGGCAGCTTGGGTTGATTATTCCGATTTTCACGTACTCACCTATCTTAACCATTGGGTTGCAAACGTTTCATCACCAAAGGAGGTGAATTACTCAGTCCATCATTGTGTCGGGTGCAGTCTCACTGTAATCGGCGAGCAGATGACATTTGGATTTACCTCATCAAAATGGGCACCGTGCTCTCAACCCACCCTGTAATTGCGAAGCTCAAGGAGCACGTGAAAATCGCGACGGAGACTTACTTTGCAACTAACTGATGATACCTGATTCCTCGGAATCTTTTCCCCTGAAACATGCTTCACCATACCATAGCTGGTTCATATCCCACTGTGCATTCCGGAATTGGCAGTTTCGTCGCAAATACTTTGTCGTCATCATGCTGACATCACCATTGCACTATTGTGCTTTGCACGGTTGCTGTCTCCTAGGTCAAACGACTCGCAGACTTCGTTGTTTGAGTTCGCCTTTCTTTTCCGCTGCCAATAATAAGCATATTGCAAACTTTGCCATTGTGCATGGTTGTGGTCGAACCATTTTTATTGTATTATGCATCCCGTTGTTGCAATAGATCCTGATTTGAGACTCAGTTGGGGCTTATGGCCCGCATGCCGTGGTATGTGACGACATTCTAGGTATTACTCAACTCATTCGCCTTGGACTACCGTTGGAGCAACACCCTTTGGTTCCCCTCAATGCAAAGTTTGTCGAGGCGTCTGCACTTGGGCACCTCCACCTGGTTCGTGCTGTCAGTCTTGGCCTGAAACAATAAATGGCTCAATGGCGTAGCAACTATTTTTTCCGCCCAAGCCGATGCAGAAATTCTCGCCCTGAGTGAGGGTAGAGTAGGCGCGTGAAGGCTACACAATCGGCTCAAGGTAAAGTGCATATTAGTTTTCCATGAAATGGAGGATCGTTTGGGACACTTAGATGAATGTGATGAAAGCGACCCCAATGGGACAAATAAGAGGATCGCTGGAAATACATTTCGCACAGGTTTGACACAAGTCGCAAATGTGTTGTTGGTCATTGTATGACCAACAACACATTTGCGACTTGCAACAGTAAAATGTTCAAGCTTCAGCCTATCCGAATATGTTGCCTTTTATATTTGGTATCGAAAAATCAACGATTTTAAATATGCTCCCTCTTATCACATGCAGCCCGGGACGGATGGTCACCCTGCACCATCGCTCCCCTATGCTATGCCACTGGCTTGAGTGCAAGAACGGTTCCATCACGGGACGTGATATCGTTCCGCTCTCTTCCTGTATGCATCTGGCACTCATGTCCCTGTCCCAATCCTGGGTGGATAAATGGTCAGGAGGCACCGTGTTAATACGTGCAAAAAACTAACAAATAAGCAGCTTGAGGGCTTTGCCACAACTCTGAGCTGCTGTCACCTGGACACATCGCTTAATGACGTTGCTTGTGTTGATTTGCAGAACAGTTTCAAGATGTCAGTGGCCCTCACTCGTATGCCTTCCAACAACATCCTCAAGCCTCACTAAACAGGACGTTTAGATGGGCTTCGCATAGTATGCAGCGCCCATTATTACAGTTGTCTCAGGAACATAGTTTACTCGACTGAGTCAAACAGACTCCTGTGAGCTGCTTGTATGGACGGCGGTGCCTTAAAATAGATCCAAGTTGGATTCCTTTGTTTGGCTTAAAATCAGCGTGGAAACTAGTCTGTCGTGCAGCAAAATTGGTTACAACACCCTCCCTGTCGCATTTGCAAACTCTCAATGGCTACTCATCGTTTTCTTATTTTGAGACAGCGGCAATGTGTACTGTGCGATGCAAAACAACTGTCGCATGTGTATTGCAGATGTGCGCGATCGTGTGTAGACAGGAAGCATCTCATTCGCACTTGTTAATACTAAGTCCTTCAAGTCCTAGGTGCTCTCATAGTCGGCGCACCACATTCTGTCCGGAATGCCATATCTAACTTGATCGGTGGATTTTCATTCGGCTCTAAAATTGATCACCAGCGCACAAAATAACTTTCACCTGGAACGTCTGTTTAGTTTCTCATTACAGTTGAAAGTGTCAATGGAACAGTGGCATAATACGGGTAAAAACGCCAAGGCCTGACAAGTCCAGTGGGATGGTTTGTGGGAATAACGTTAGCTCAATAAAGTTACACAAAAGTGAGAACCATCTGTGGACTCACCATGTTATCCAAGTTAACACACAGGTATATCCGTCTGCCCCGATTTCTTGGCGTTGGTGGGCACAATGTTTGTCTGCGTCTTGTCATCACTCAAGGAATAGAAATCGGATCAAGTAATGTAAATGGTGCAAAGCATCGTCGAGTCGATTTTAAAATTGGGTAGCGTGTGCGCGGAAATGACATAAGTCGAAAAAGCGTTCGACGGTTGAAAAACTCGAAGGGAAAAATAATTTCGGCGACACTCCAGCCGATTGTATTGGGTGGCAAGTTTCAATTTATGACACCTCAATGCTGTGTTGCAGTTAAGTTTCAGGAGGTGGCGGCAAGCGTGATCGGAGTTTTTCAACATCTGGATGAGGTCACTCCGTAGACGGTGATACCTTCCGCTGTACACTCCAAGGGCTTTCAGTCGCCTATGATATTACAGGTGGGACGAATTCTTCACATTTTCCCTTACCCGTCATTATGCGGTCTCCAGTGCAACCAGATCGAGTTTTAACCAGCGTTGCGAAGCCTGGATCGCGTACTCTACACGCAACCTCACATACGCATCCTTAATAGATCAACATGTTGGTTCGCAGTTTTGGACGCCTTCAAGAACTGCGCCGAACAGTCGATGTCCTCTTGTCGGCCGGTGGCCGAGTGTTCTGCGCAACTGGTTTGCAACCATAAGGTCCCCGGTTCGAATCCGCGTAGGGGTGTGTGTCTTCGCGGTATACTCAGCCCGCGCGCGACTGGTGGTGGTTGCGCGGCAAGGAAGCGCCGTTACGGGGTACAGCTGGCATATTGTTTTATTATTATTTTACCACCACAAGGTCACGCTCTTATGTGGCGGTGTTCAGCATATCATCTCCAAGCTTAAATATGTACGTGGGGTTGTGGCGAACATGCACGGTTTTGCATTTGTCCTTGTTAAAACGAAGCAGCTTTAACTTTGACCATTCAAAAACGCAGTCTGTCTCGTTGCAGCATATCATGATCTTCCTAACAGGCGATTGCCCTCCATATCTTGCTGTCATGGGCAACCAGCAGAAAATTTGACTTGATAACACGCAAGGTTGCTAACGAAGAACAAGAATAACCGCGGCTTCAACACCGACCCCTGTGGATACCGCTGTCCACACCAATTGGATCAGAAAATGAACCTCATACTCGAACCTGAAGGCGCCGCTGAAAGAGAAAGTTTCTAATCCATCCAAGGAGGGAGTTTACAACTCCGTATGCTTGCAGCCTTTGGAGAAGGATGCGGTGATCTATGCGGCCGCATTATTTGGAAAAGTGTAGGTAGATGGCATCAATGCCGGTCCCACTGTCGGCTGTCTCAGTTTAACCGCCACGGGCAAGCAGTAGGCTGGTAGTACATGACGGATGCTGACGGAATCCGTGTTGCTCCGGTGCTATGATGGAACAGTGGTTCACTACGGGTAAAAAAGCACTGGTTAATGAGTCCCGTGGGAGGGAAATTATTGCGCAAAGTGAATTGTATGATAAAGTGAAAAACGTTTTGGTGGATTCAACATAGAGTTAGGTAGAATAGCAGTGAGGTTCGCGTATGAAACGTATAAATCCATAAATCCACTGGTTGGGAGTTTGACAAGACACCGTTTGCCTTTTGTAGCCTCTGGATAACAAGTCATAAAATGAAATGTAAGTGAGACAATGCATCGTCAACACGTTTTTTAAATATCACCAAATTGAGAGCAGAGACAACATAATTAGGGAGGGCGTCCCAAGGCTGGCACACGCGGAGGGAAAAGAAACTTCTACGGCATTCAAGCCTGCTATACTGAATTGTCAGTTTCAGAGGGTAACCTCTTAGTTTAGTGTTGTGGTTCAATTCCAGCAGCGGGCGGCAAACGTGGTTTGAATTCTTCAGAATCTGGTAAACCGTTATGAGATCCCCCCGCAAGAGCCGATATCGACTGCAGTACATTCTTAGAGATTTGTCTAAGCCAATAGGGCAGGTGAAAGAGGCCCCTGACGTTCTTGGTTGCCATTCGTTGAGGAGTCTCGAGAGCAACAAGATCCTGTTTCTGCCACGGCTGCCACGCCTGAATAGCATATTCCACGTGCGGTCACACATAGGTGTTAAGCATTTGGGGAAACATTGGGGTTCAAACCGACCGAA